TAGCTCTTGTAGACCAGGCTGGTCTTGAACTCATAGAGATCTGCCTGCCTCTGCCTCCCGAGTGCTGGCACTGAAGGCATGCACCACCAACGCCCAGCTTAGGGGTGAGCTTTGAGGTTTCAAAAGTCCATACCAGGCCTAGATGCTCTTGCTCTCTCTTCTGTCTGTCTCTCTCTCTCTCTCTCTTCCTATGGGTCAGAATGTAGCTCTCAGCTCCTGTTCCAGTGCCTGCTGTTATGCCATCCTGCTCTCTGCCATGAGGTTATTGGATTAAACCTCTGAAACTATCAGCAAACCCCAATTAACTACTTTCTTTTACAAGAGCTGCCTTAGTCATGGTGTCACTTCACAGCAATAGAACAGGGACTGTAGTAGACAGTGTGCAAGCGCTTTACCCTGAGCTATATCCCCAACTGGTCATATTTTAATTTCATCTTCACAGTAACAAACAACTTTGCTGTATGTAATATTCTTGGTTGGCAGGAGTTTTCCCTCTTTCAGCATTTTAAATATACCAACCCATATCTTCCAGATCCCAAGCTACCCATTCAGAAACTTCTGGAGGCTTTCTGGTCCAGGTGAGGAACTATGCTCTTACTTTCAAAATGATCACCATGCTCAGTGCCGCTGATGTACACTGAAATGTGCAGCACTTGCGTTATCAGCCACTGGAAACCATTCTCAGAGACCATGGGATTCTGTGACTCACACACACGTTATTTAAATCAATTGTCATTGAACAAAATGTTACACACAGGGCACAATGCTCAAGAAAGTCTTTACGGGAGATGATAATATACTTGGTTGTTCATGCTCCGAGCTGTTAAAGCATATCCCCAAAGTGTGTATTTTACGAGCATCCCACATAGCTAAATAGTGTTGCTCTGAGATAGGGTGGTGCATGACTTTAATCCCATCACTCAAGAGGCAGAGGCCTGAGTGTCTCTGTGCGTTCCAGCCCAGCTTGGTCTACAGAGTGAGTTCCGGGACAGCCAGGACTACACACAGAGATCCTGCCTCAAAAAACAATCACAAAAGAATGTGGTACTGGAAACCTACCTTTCAAATACAGTGCTTTATTCTCAACCACTCATGCACCTGCCCCCTTAAACACAGATTAAAGACATGTAAATTAGTGACCAACGTCCTACACACACTACATACTGCTGAACACAATGCTTCATAGATTTAACCTGCTGCATTCAGTAATTCAGGAACCCCAAAGTTGTCAGTCCAGAGACTAGCCCATGCTCACAACCTAGCAACACAGCATTACTTGTATTTTTACCCTCTTGGTCTGCTGAGTGGTATTTCGTAATATACAGTGATTGAATGAGTCTTTAGTCTCCTCATTCCCATTAGCAGTTGTCTCACTTTTTAGTGTCATAACACATCTGTCCTGTTGTTATATGACAACCCAATTTAAGGTGAACAGTGATTGCATCCTCTCCCATTTGCTGTGTGATACATATGTGGCATTATGACACACATATACATGAATAAGTTGTATGTCCCCTCTCTCAGTCACTGCAGGGTTTAGTATATTTCATAGTGATATGATGCAGCTGAGAGCTGTGGTCTTTGATGTCACGTGACATTCTTAATAACATTGTGACGTAGTGTGAATCAAGAGCTGGTCCCTCTTTGGGTTGTCTTATAATTATTAGATAAACATCAGATGGCAGATGTATTATGTAGTGACACAAAGTGACAAAAATGTGTGCCCCGTGCCAGTTGTCATACATCTTATGTGACATTGTGTAAGCCAATCTGAGTTTTTTCTCAATTGTCATGTAGTGCCATGTGACATGTGACTGATACATCTCTCCTCTCAACTGATACATTGCATTTATACATATATAATGTATCTCAGGTCCACATCCCAGGTAATCTTGTATGTGACATTTTATGGAATGTAAAGACTCAGAACTGATATGCTTAAGTCCTCTTTGGTATAATAGCTAAGAACAGACATGTTCTTCATCCCCATAAGGAGAGACATTACAATGTCATAGATGATGTCACATCACCTGGATGGCAGACTATGACTCTGTCTGCATGCCATCTCTCTAGATTGTCATATGACTCGGTCTCCATCCCTTCTCTCAGAAGTCATATGACATCTTATATGACTTAGTGACATGATATGTAGAGGTATGCACCTTCCATTATGATATCAAAGATTGCATAGTACGATGGTGAGACTCTAGTCTTCAGCCTTCTTGGCTGTCATAGGCTGTAATTTGTTACCTAGGGAAGCAATGTGACTCAGCTGTCAGCTTTCAGGGGACATTGTAAGGTACACAGTAATATTCTGCCTCAGGCATGCCACTTGTTAGTTTGTGTCTTAATCAGTGTGTTAAAGAGACACTTCAGCCGGGCGTTGGTGGTGCATGCCTTTAATCCCAGCACTCGGGAGGCAGAGGCAGGCGGGTCTCTGTGAGTTTGAGGCCAGCCTGGTCTCCAGAGCGAGTGCCAGGAAAGCCTCCAAAGCTACACAGAGAAACACTGTCTTGAAAAAAAACAAAAAACAAACAAACAAACAAAAAGAGAAAGACACTTCAAAATCCAGAGTTGAGTATGTGAACATTTAATGATCCTTTTTTAGAGCTGGGGTCTTGTGTATCTCAGGCCAGCCTGGAACTCATTATATAGCCAGAGATGACCCAGAGCTTCTGACTGTAACTCCAATTCCTGAGTACTGGGATTACAGGCATGCACTAGCATGTCTGGCTCATGTGGTACTGCAGACAGAACTCGGTGCATCATGCATGGTAGGCAAGCATTCTATCAACTGAGCCACATCCCTGTACTGGCTGATTTGTATGCCAACTTGACACAAGCTAGAATCATCAGAGAGGAAGTACCCCCAGCTGAGGAAATGTCTCCATGAGATGCAGATGTGAGGCATTTTCTCAATTAGTGATCAATGGGAGAATTAGTGACCATGATGGGTGGTGCCAGCTCTGGGCTGGTAAACCTGGGTTCCAAAAGAAAGCAGACTGAGCGAGTCAGGGGAAGCAAGCCAGTAAGCAGTTCCCCTTCATGGCCTCTGCATCAGCTCCTACCTCCAGGATTCTGCCCCGTTTGAGTTCCTGTCCTGACTTACTTTGTGGTGAACAGCAATGCTAAAGAGTAAGCCAAATAAACCCTTTCCTCCTCAACTTGGTTTTTGGTCATGGTGTTTTGTTGTAGTACTAGAAACCCTAACAAAGACAATCCCCAGCTACAGATTGTGACTTTATTTTTTTTTTCCTGGCACTCACTCTGGAGACCAGGCTGGCCTCAAACTCACAAAGATCTGCCTGCCTCTGCCTCCCAAGTGCTGGGATTAAAGGCGTGTGCCACCAACGCCCAGCTCAGATCATGACTTTTAAGTGTATGATTTAAATAATTTATCATAATTTGGTATACTGTCAACATAAATTTCTGTTACTTTGGAATATATTAATTCATGCAAATTACTTCTTCGTGACTGTAATATTGTGCAGACACCATGACCAATACAACTTATAGAAAGGTTTATTGGGATCTTAACAGTTTCAGAAGGTGAGTCCATGGCTATCACAGCAGGGAGCATGGCACCAGACAGGCAGGCATGGTCCTGGGGCAGTAGCTGGGAACTTGTGTTTTGATCCATAAGCATGAGGACCAAGTATGCATTCCTACTCATTTAAACCACTACAAGGTTTCTTTCTTCACTGTAATTTTTAAGTTATTCAGGTCTGAATTCACTACCTCAGAGTTAATTGTGGCCAAGAGAAGATAAAAAGGATGTAACCAGATGCTTCAACGACAGTTATATTAAAAAAAAAAAAAAAAAAAAAAAAAAAAAAAAAAAAAAAAAGATGGCCCAGCCCGGCGGTGGTGGCGGTAGAAGACCAGCCTGGTTTACAAGAGCCTAGTTCCAGGACAGCCTTCAAAGCCACAAAGAAACTCTGTCTCGAAAAACAAAACAAAAACAAACAAACAAAAGATGGTCTGGCGTTGGTGGCGCATGCCTTTAGTTCCAGCACTCAGGAGACAGAGGCGGGCGGGTCTCTGTGAGTTCAAGATCAGCCTGGTCTACAAGAGCTAGTTCCAGGACACCCTCCAAAGCCACAGAGAAAAACAAAACAAACAAAAAAGGTGACACTTCAGAGGACGTAACTGTAGACTTGCCAGGTTTCCAGCAACAGCACAGTGTAAGAAACCCTGCTTTAGTAAAGTATCATCTCTCTTATTCGTGCTGCAAGCTAAATTAAGAATCTTGACACTGCCAGGAGCCGGGGAGATGGCTCAGTGGGTACAGGACCTGCTGAGCAAGCATGAATTCAACTTCCCAGCACCCCTTTCTCTTCCATTCTTCAGTTGCAGTCTGCTGCTGGTGTTCACAGCTTGTCTATGGGGGTGGGGGAATCTTTTAAGCCCTAATAAAATTGTCCTTGCGCTTCCATTTGAGTCCATGCTTAAATTATTTTATGAATGAGGCTAAGAACCCCAAAGGGAAGCTTGATTTCCCCTGTATCGTTCTCCTGCCGTGCCCAGGTTGAAGGACAACCCCGCTGGCCAGCGTCCGGCCCCAGCGGCCTGAGTCCGCGCACACTTCGTGCTGGCCGGATCGTGTCTTTAAAACACGGGGCTGCAGAGGCCAGGGCGAGCGCCTG